ACATACACACATACATACATACATACAGCAGTGGTGGGATTCAAAAATTTTCACTATTGGTTCTGTGTGCGTGGCTTGGTGGGCATGGCATGGCCTGGCTTGGTGAGAGTGGCAGGGGAAGGTTACTGCAAAATCCTCCCCACCCCACTAACCTGCTCTCCAGCTCCGTTCTCCTGTGCAGGGCAACAAAAGAAGACCCAGCTGATCACTGGGACTTGGGAGGCAGAGAATAGAGGGGGGTAGGGCCAGTCAGAGGTGGCATTTGCCAGTTCTCCAAACTACTCAAAATTTCCACTGCCAGTTCTCCAGAACTGGTCAGAACCTGCTGAATACCACCTCTTATACACAGTATAGTTAAGGTCTATGAAGGAAGGAAATCCTAGGACTTGAAGAATTCCCTGTGTAATTTGCTGAATCTCGATAGGAACCTACATTGTTGGAAGTAAATAATGAGTCAATTAATCTTTCAGATCCAGTTCAGAGGATTTGGTGAATATTCATTGGTAGAGAAAGCCAGTCCTGCAAACAATCTAGCTTATCTATACTTACATAAATAGTTAAATGGGTTTAACGAAGGGCACCAGAGGTAGTATTCAGCAGGTTCTGAGCAGTTCTGGAGAACTGGTAGTGGAAATTTTGAGTAGTTTGGAGAACCAGCAAATACCACCTCTGAATGGAGATTTTACAGTATCCTTCCCCTGCCACGCCCACTAAGCCATGCCCACAGAACTGGGAGCAAAAAAAAAGAATCCCACCACTGAAGGGCACTCATAAATATCCACACCATCTCATTGTGCAGCAGTGGCATCTTCTCAGTAATCCTCAAGGGGAGGCCATTGTAAAAAAAATCTTCTTCCAGAGAGTTGATGTAAGACCATTCCTCAAGTTTCAAAGAACTCAAATGTTCTCAGATAAACATGGAATGGGACATCCAAACCAAAAAAACAGAAGAGATATTTTATCTGGCACTAGTAAAGCTTGCCAAATCTGCCACACACCCCTATTTCTTCCCGGTCCCTCCTTCAAGCTTGCTTTGTTCTTCTTCCATTGAGATATACAGTTGTGCAATTTAAAAATAAATTAGAAAATAGTGGAACTGCAATCTGCCTTTTAATTTGCACTTTCATAAACATGCTCTGGATAAATTCACTAGCATGAGGCCTGCCTCTCCCCACTCCTTTTTAAATTTTATTTTTTGGTCAACCACCTTCCTGAGTGGAGATGGTCCCTTCCGGACAAGGAACACAGTCATAGCAGCATACTGGCTCTCCTTCTCGAACCCGTTTGACAAATCCAGGATAACAATTTTCTCCACATTTGGATTCAGGCAGAGACTAAGCAGAAAAACAAGGAATGACAAAGAAACTGTGTCAAAACTAATCATCTATGGAAAATGGAGGCCAACATGAACATTAGCCAAGTAGTCTCTGGACTTCATATAATATTGACTGTTTCCTAGTATGATTGATTGCTTATTTTACCGTATGACTATCATTAATTGTTGTACCTTATGATTCTCGTCTCCTGATGAATGTATCTTTTCTTTTATGTATACTGAGAGTATTTACACCAAGACAAATTCCTCGTGTGTCCAGTCACACTTGGCCAAGAAAGTATTCTATTCTATTCTATTCTATTCTATTCTATTCTATTCTATTCTATTCTATTCTATTCTATTCTAT